AGGCGGCACCCCCCCCACCCTCACCCCCCACTACCACCCACCCCCCACTACCACCACCACGTGGGTTGTCCGTCACAGCACCCCCTCGGGACCCCCCATCGCCGCCGCCGCCCGCCCCTCGTGCCCCTCCTCCCCCCCTCTCATGCCCCCCCTCTCATGCCCACCCCTCTCATGCCCCACCCCATGCCCCCCCTCTCATGCCCCCCCTCTCATGCCCCCCCTCTCATGCCCCCCCTCTCATGCCCCCCCCTCTCATGCCCACCCCTCTCATGCCCACCCCCCTCTCATGCCCCCCCTCATGCCCCCCCTCTCATGCCCCCCCCTCATGCCCCCCCCCTCTCATGCCCCCCCCTCTCATGCCCCCCCTCATGCCCCCCCTCATGCCCCCCCTCTCATGGCTCCCCCCTCATGCCCCCCCTCTCATGCCCCTCTCATGCCCCCCCCCCTCATGCCCCCCCCTCTCATGCCCCTCTCATGCCCCCCCCCCTCATGCCCCCCCCCTTCATGCCCCCCCTCTCATGCCCCCCCCTCATGCCCCCTCTCTCATGGCCCCCCCCCTCATGCCCCCCCTCTCATGCCCCTCTCATGCCCCCCCCTCTCATGCCCCCCCTCATGCCCCTCTCATGCCCCCCCCATCCCCGCCCCGCCCCCGCCGCCTTCCACAGCACATTGCCACAATTAGGCTAATCACCGCTCACGACGATGAACGCGATTAATTTGCGTTCACGACGACTGACGTTGGGCTCGCCCCGCGTCGTGGTCTGCGCGCTTCTCGACGGCCCGGACGCTGTCGGCCTCCGCCTTGGCGTTGCGTCACGCTCTGCCTTGAGGTGGCGAGCACGCGCCCTCCGTGTGTATACGTCCATATGGCAACATAATACTATAGTGTAGGGCAAGGGTCGGGAAACCTTTTTGACTGGGAGAGCCATAAAAGCCCAATATTTCTAAATATATTTCATTGAGAGCCATATAGTAATTTTTTTTACGTATAATAAATTAAATATGTCTTACTTTTAATGCGACTTCTGGTGCTGCATGGTTTTGCTGATGGCCTTGTAGTCTGGTTCATACGTGGTGAGGTTGAGCTTCATGCAGGCGTGACCCGTGAAATGTATCTTCAAAACTAATTTCTGTTTACTTTAAAATGACACGGTATTATTAAGCACTATCACAAGTATTTTAAAATCAGTTCCAAACAGATTTTTTTTTTCAACTCAAAAATTGTCTGGGAGCCACTGGAAGAGCCATATATGGCTCGTGAGCCATAGGTTCCCGACCGCTGGTGTAGGGCAATTAGTCGGTACAATTCACACACATTTGACCAATCATTGCTGGCTGAAGGCCGTCTCGTGCAATGTAAACATGAGGGTGGTTTGACCATACTTCACCACGATGGTCGTTGTTCGGATATCACTCGCCACTGATGATCAACGTGCAGCACGCTAACCACTGCACCACCGCTCCCTCCCACATGCGGATTTTAAGACGTGATTATTCACTTAATAGCACAATAATGGGATTAAGTTTCACTAAGCCACAATCACCAGCCATGATCGACCCATTCCTGTACGTACAGGAATAATTTATTTGAATATACAACACTGTACTGTGTCGTTACATGGGTTTCACGTTTGTATAGATGGCAACAGCATGCTGATGAGTCTGTGGACATATTGATGTGCAGCTGTTACAGTCCGGAACGCACTTCCAGCAGTTATATTTTAGCCAAGCCACATCCATCTCGCCTTAATTTGTCCTAAACCTGTCCATGGGATCATTGGAATATAGGGTGCAAAAGTCGACTTTAGTGGTAGTGCCTTACGCCGATAATTATCCTTACTCCAAACCACTCCTGGCAGCGTTGCGGAAAATGTAACGTGAGAAATGATTTCGGGTGTGATTGATAACAAAAAGTGTGTACAGTATAGATATTGCAATGTTTTATAACTGCGCATATTTTGAAACACAATGGCATGCATGCATACCTGTCAACCCATACGGTTTCTCCGTATTCTTGTCCAGGGAAATTGAGTTTTCAGGTCCATACGACGTACAGCCGTTTCAATAAATCGAAAAAAATCCATGTCTATTTGATTGCGTTTCTCCCTTTGTGATGGGACTTTGTAGGATGAACGTTGAGATGTTTAAGGGGCACGGGGTGACCAATAAGGTCTGACTTGGTCTTTACTAAGGTAGGCACTGACAAGGGGTTGACAGATACATGCCTGTGATTACCACGTGGTAATCACACGATTTAGCCGGGCGGTGGAGGCTATGGACATGGCCTGTAATGGAGCACTGGAGAGGCACCGAGGGTTTGGTGGAGCACACTTGTATTTAAAAACTCCCTTCCCTTCTACAAGGGATGGAGGGATGGACAAATAAGAATCGGCTTTACCCTTTTTGGCAATAAAACACGAGGTGTTGAGATGTTCAAACAACAAACAGATCCCTCCTATTGCAAGGCATCAATCTGCATTATCCACACGTACTTGTGGCAAAACATGCAAACAAACGTTCTCTAATAATATTCGTGGTTCTTTCGGTAAAGTCACGTAGATAGAATATAAAAATTAAATTAAGTTAAAAATAAAAGCAAAAAACCCACGACGTTTCGATCGCAACACAAGCGGCCTTCGTCAGGCGGAGAGAAAAAAGGGGACAGGCCTCCAAATGCAACTGCTTCTAAGGGCTGCGCTCTGATGATACACGCACTGTCTTTGACACGGATTGTCAGACTAGAGAACACAAGAACGCGAACTATACAACGGCAATGCAGGTTTCAAAGTACTCATAGCTCTGGTTGAGAAGTTCGTGTTTCCCCCTCGAATGCGTGGGTTGTCTCCAGATGCACCGGTTGTCTCCTCCATGTAAGTATCTTAAACATATCAAGGCCAATTGTGGGCACTGGATCATGGTGTGGCCTTCCCACCTCTGAATAACACATTCCTCCTGCGGAGGGAGCTGGTAGGAACGTTGGGTTGCTCGGTCAATGGCCAGGGTCAACGGCGGCGTGGTGTATTCCGCAAATATGGCCGACTGTGAGGGCGGGCACAAGCCGGCGTGAGTAGGTTAAACGTTGAGTTTTATAAGGGCACCACGGGGTGACCAGCCCCTCCCCACCCAGTCCCACCCCTCCCACCCCCCACCCAGCCCCACCCTCCCCACCCAGCCCCACCCTCCCCACCCTCCCCTCCCCACCCAGCCCCGCCCCTCCCTCCCCACCCAGCTCCTCCCTGCACGACGGACACAATAATCCCCTGTGGGCTGGTGTAACCAGGAGGTTCCTACCAGTATTATGCGGCACATTGTCCAGCGCGATGTGTTACCAGTGACGGTAAAATCTGCACGTGGTTTGTCTGTGTGCATATGAAGCCAAACGTCAACCCAAAAACACACAAGTGTGTTTTATCTTGTAGATAACCACCTGGACTTTGTGTCCCTGGCTTTGCCACATCGGCTTTAATGTCAGTTCATAAGAACACTGTATTTTCTCAAGTTGCAGTTAAGCGCGTGATGTTATCACTGCATTGACATCAATAAACGTTTGACGATGTCTCCCATAATCTTTCTGACATCTCCAGACATCTCTCCTATTACCTCATGCCACGTCCAACAACTTAAATGTTCACGTTATCTCGCTCGCTATCACTCTGTCAATCTTACATCCCCATCACCTCACGATTGCATACCTCTATAGTTTGCATGCATCTTTTCAATAAATGTTTTTTTTTTATATATACAGCACCCTCCAATATGCCAGGGCGTCTCAGAATGCTTTCTATCTAATTTCAACACATTTGAAAGGGCACTCCCAGTTGCAGCTGCCACTGTGGACACAAGGTGACCTCGTCTGCAAACATAAAATGAGTCCACGAGTGGAGGGTGATGTTTGATGTGGATGATCCCAATTGAGTCATCCGTTCAGCTCGATCTTGCCTGCATGTCTCTTTTCTGCTTTCGGATCTCTCCGTGTCGTCTCCATCGCTCTCATCTTGTGACATGTGGGGGGCTCCATGCAGTAAATATAATCTGGCTAATACTGCCCCTGTTTGTAGACCTGAGTTAGGGCTACGTTATGTGAGAGTGCAATAAAAGTTACGGGCTATGTTTAGACTTACCTTTGGAGCCGTCAATAATTAACACGCAATGTTGTCTAACACGCCTGAATCTGCTGATGAGGCTCCAACAGTTGAAACCGGTCCAGGGATTGCAAAAAAACAAATGCTGCTGGAAAACTGTCGTTCAGAAGGGCATTTGGCTAACGGGAACATTACGATGATGACTGGTGGTCGAGACGAACGATGCAGTAGTAGCAGCCAAAGGAAGGAACTTGCCCAGAGGCAGCGCAATGCGATCGACACGTGCGCAGGAGATAGATTGTTGCATCGCAAGGCTTTCGGGGGTGGCGATAGCATGGAGAGGAAACATCGAGCAGTGGATAAACAACTGCTGATAATGAAGAAACTCGATTCCTTTCTCTATTACGGCCGAACATCCTAACAAATGAGACGTCACATTTCTCATTTGTCCAGGGTATCTTTTAAATAAAATGAACGTATTCAGTATGTACTATGAACAACTAAAATTGTGAAATTGTGTTTTGTGTCAAACAGTTATAAGATGTAGGACTCAGTCGCACATCTGTGCGTTTTACACATGGTCTGAAGAAAGTGATACAACATAATAATTCCTCGTAACAAGCTTGGTGTAAGTCGTAGCCAAGGCTAAATAAAGCTCATTAGCAAAACTATTGGCGCGCTATACAACTGAACCCAGTGACCCGAGTTCAGTGCCCAGCTGACATCACTGTTGAGTGATGTCTGGACCCAGTTTAGGGCTCCCTCTCTTCACCATGCCACGCTGACCAGCGTCAAGTATGGTCAAACAAGCCTCGTGACCAACATGGTGTGAAGAGACCTTCATTCAGCAGTAGATTGATAATGGACTGTCAGTCGGTTTAGCTTACCAACGCAAAACAAGAAGACAAGCAGTAGGATGCACAAGCCAACATTTATGCCAACAATACAGACACGATTCATGAAGAATTATAAACGGCACCAGAGAGCGAAAAGTGGCTAGGAAAATATAATACTTACACGTTTTCATAGCAATTTATTTTCTCTTTACTTAACAGGTAAGTCTTCTTCAGAGGCTACTCAAGAAAATTGACCAGTAGAACTAGCGCGTGTGTTTGTGCTCTTAGGATAGTGCAGCAGTTAGCGTGCTGCGCTACGAACCCGCTGTCCCAAGTTCGATTCCCGCTCACGGCCAACACCAGTGTGACGATTATCTGAACCGGTCCTGGGCCTCCCCTAGGTCGACTCAGCCTCAAATGAGTACCTGGTGTGTAAATATCGCCACTGGAGATACAAAGGCGGCCGTGCGTGGTGTTGGCCAACCACCCCCTCGTGTGCTGTGCCGGCCTTCATAGGTGCTCGCTAACAGCACTTGCCCCAGCAGTCTGTTCAGGCTATCCGGGGAATCTTTGTCTGAGCTCTTAGGATATTACATGTGTAAATCTGTATGAATGTGTGCATGGGGAGCGGTAACAGTGGTTGGCGCTAGGAGTTTCATAGCACACGTGCAATGAAAGTCAGCAAAATGAAACTCCGCGAAATAACAATGATAAAATACCTTGCAGAATTAATTTCATTGCGTGAAATCGTCGTCACTGCTATTTGTTTATATACAACAGCAAGTCGCGTATTCAATTATTTTTTTCTTCCAAGGACACGTCCTGCATTGTCTTCAGTCTTCAACAAAAAACGGCAATCCCACGTTAATTTTCAAAGTTATGGGAGGCTCGCTTATCAAACAGGCTTGCCCCAGCTTGCTTCTTGCACCGCATCATGTGCCACTGTCCTTGCGGTGGGGGCATGGCGTGGCATGAAGTATGTCCACCAAAAGCTCAGGATGCGCTGTCGGACAGGCACCAAGATTTCACATCACCACGTTCCCTTTGAAGCTCGGAAGTGATCATCAAGCAGTGACGGACGCCGATTTTGAGCCACAGCACTTCTCTCCGAGCCAAGAGGGTTTGCACGAAGGAGATGGAGTGATGAAATAAGTTCACGTGCAGGCACCGGGTGGATAGTTCCGTTGCGAGTTCGTGAGATGTGATGGGGGCTAGGAGGGGCCTTCGTCCACGAGTGGATTGATCGGTTTTGATGATGGAGGCGAGCGACTTCTCTTGTTCACTTCGATCCGACACTTTTCCCGATACATGACCCAGAACTGGAGAATGTCTTCTCATGAAATCCGAACAATGTCCCCCCCCCCGCCCCCTCCGTGGGCACGTTTGCTGGACCCAAGAGGTGAACACGGCGGTGCGTGCTTACAGGAATACAATCAATCATAAATACTTCATTGGTAGCAATAGCTGTAACGTCCAAGGCAGGAAATATTTACAGGGTGATTATCGTAATACCAGGACCCGGACATGCTGTCTAGACATTTCGCGTGAATGTCTGGACAGCGAATGAGCTGATGCGGGGTGAAAACATAAACCACTCATCACCAGGCAGTTTCAAAGAGTCTGGCAGCAACCACAAACATTGACCAGTGGTTTCTGCTGAAGTTTGGCAACATCATAAACAAAAACTTAAGCAAATCAGATAAAAAGATGATCCGATTGATCTTCTCTGACAATTTGGCTAATCTTTGTTGGTGAGATGTTTAAATTATTTAAATTTTTTTTTTAAATACTTTGTTTCAAGATTTGTCAACAATTCTGCTTATACTGTGGCACAAATAAAACAACAAAATTCTTAAACATTTGAAACTTTGAACACTTAAGTTGATCTCGCTTGACGCAGTGCAACATGAAAGCAAGCGCGTTAGGATCCACCGGGAAAACCCACAATGTTTCTATCCTCGTAAATCAACATTACAAATACTATTTTGAGCGCCAAAACTTGCACTTGTCGGGAAAGAAAAGTCAGATTTTTCTCTCTCTTTGTTTACAAAAAAAACCAGAGTGGGATAAGATCAGCAAGTGAACATTCCTGTCTGAACCAGAACAAGATTCCACTGGCCCAGACCAATTCATGCAGAAACCAGGACTTACAATTCTCCTCGAAAATAAGAGGCGAGAGAGCTCACACAATTAAAAGCAGAAACAGACGCGTTCACTTCTCTAGAATTTTTTTCATTTTCACAGTTGCTCATTACACTGCCTCATACCCACGGAGGAAGACGTTTTTCAGTAGTAGGTGAAGAGAAAAGAAACGAAAATAAATATTCGGCTCACGACTGGCAACATAAATTAAACAGCGGCTTCTGGCTGAAATGTTGGCGAGTGAAAAACAAACACACATGCGCATCGTGCACGTCATAGGAAGGTTGCAAAACAAAAACGATTTTAAAACGAAGTCGCCGTTCAGAAGTAATCTCTCCGGCGAGTGTCGTCGTGGACATAGGACGGATTGTGCTGCCCTCCGTACATGTACTGTCCTGGGGGCAGCACGGAGTAGGGCTGCCCCGACTCGCCCATCTTCACCGAGCTCCGGTACGCCGGCTGCAGGCAGGCAGGGGGAGGGTTGGGGGGTCATGGGCAGTACAGCAAGGAGGTTGTAACAGCGCCACCCGGGGAGGGCAGCAGCATTCAGCGAAGCTGCAGGGCAGCCGTGGTGGGCGCCACACGCCACCTGCCCTTCCACCTCCGCCATTCTTTAATTCGTAACGAGCAATTGCACAAGACTGTCCTCATGTGTGTATGTGTTTTGAACTTCTTTCGCAGCGTACGTAGCCAACCGTGCTAATCGGGGGTGGTGGACAACCGACTGTGGTAAAACTGGATCGGTGTCGGCGTAGAGCCAGGGCCTCATTACTCACGCGATAATTTCTGCGTCGCTTGCAGACGAGAGTTGGCACGTGACTGGTAGCCACAGGCGTGACACGAGGTGTATTGGGTGTGATGTGTCAGCTGCCTCATGTATTTTTCATCTTGGTAACCTGGACAGACCAGGCTGACATTAAGCCCCGTGTCGAGAAATCCCTTGCGAGGTTATGACCTCCCCATGCCGTGGTGGTCATGGAGGTTATTTGACCACACTTCTAGATTTGAAGCTTTCGTGACTGCAAGGATTCATACTCTTAGGTTTTTTCGGTAAAGTCACGTAGGTAGATATAAATAATAATATAAAGAATAATATAAATAATAAGATTATTATTTCTATTATTATTTTTCTATTATTTTTATTTTATTATTTATTATTTGCCCATACTTCACCACGCTGGTCAGTAGCGTGTTAGTGAAGGCGTAGAGCGTAAACGTCAGGGAAGAGTGCAGCACAACATTGTAGTTTTCTCTTTGGTTCTTTCGGTAAAGTCACGTTGAAAGAAAATCTATTAAATAATAGAGTACGACGTTTCGATTGCAACACAAGCAATCGTCATCAGGTAGAACTAAATTTGAGAGAGAGACAAAACAGAGACTCTCTCTGTGTGTGTGTCGGTGTTGTCTCTCTCTCTCTCTGCTTGTGTGTCTGTCTGTGTGTCTCCGTGTCCGTGTTTTGTCTCTCTCTCAAATTTAGTTCTACCTGATGACGGCTGCTTGTGTTGCAATCTAAACGTCGTACTCTTATGCAATTTATTTTCTCTTTCTACGCGACTTTACCGAAAGAACCAAAGAGTAATTCCTGCAGTCACGAAAGCTTCAAATCAAATTATATTTTCCTGCAATGCCCTCTGCTGGACGGTGGTCACGCATCAAAGAACCGTACAAGCAGGCTCGACCCTGCTTAGCTTCTGAGGTCTGATGAGATCGGCTGAATTCCTGTTTATTTGGTCACAAGCAACTAACGTGGCTTGACCTTAAACATAAATACAATTAAGGTCAAAGTAATTTATTGCTGCTCAGAAGAGAGTGGGGTGGAGTTTCGCCCCGTGTTTAACAGCCCTGTGTCAGAGGTTGAAATTCCACATTTTAAAGTGGGCGTGAATCTCTCCAGAGGGCATCCACTGTTGACTTTTGACCCACAGCAAGACCAGTGAGCGCATGCTGCTCATATCCAGCTGATAGCAACAGTCAGGTAGCTCAAAGGTGATGTCATCTCTCAGTCACATGACTCTGCGTTCCTCCCATAACAGCGTGTTATATAAAAGTTCAGCCAAAGGGTTGTTTTAAACACGTATTTATTTTTTACGATTCTAATTTTACGAAGCATAGACGTAAGTAAAAGTGTTGAAGAATATCTGCCCTACATCAGAATGTTCCTCGATAATTTTACTCAACTTCATTTAAAGCTTTTTTTGAATACGAGATCCACTTAAAAAAATTCTGATAGGTCCCCTGGAGAATCTCTCTCTCGTATCGCACTAGAAGACCAAACATGATGACTGCGCATTTGGTCTGGGAATTCATACGATGGCACCAAGCGTTGCTAGACGCATAGCGTCTGTACCTCCTGTGCAAGCGTGTGATGATGGGCAGTGCTCGGTTTACGTGATGAACAGATCGCACTGCTCGGGCAAGGAAAGGTTCCCCACCCCCATGTGTGTACACGTGTGCACATGCGTGTGCATGCACACATATACACGTACACGTGAGTGCGCGTGCATGTAGTGTAGTGGTTAGCGCGCCGCGCTACGGACCCGGCGACCCGAATTCGATTCCCGCTCACGGCCAACCACCGGTGACGATGATCTGAACCGGTCCTGGGCCTCCCCTAGGTCGACTCAGCCTCAAATGAGTACCTGGTGCTGTGTGTAAACATCGCCCCTCGTGTGCCACAGTGCCAGCCCTGCTTAGACATGGTGCTACTCGCGATCCGCACCTTGTCCCCAGCAGTGTGCCAAGCAAGGGTGGTACAGTCAGTTTTTTTACAATCGGGTTTAATTGTCTTTTTATATGAAACCCGATCATCTGAGATTGGGAGAAATCCGGTTTAATTGGTTCTAATTGCAGAACCGCACTTCGCCAACTTCTCAACAACGGGCTTCATCCATTCCAAGCTAAGGAACTCACTGGCGGCGCCCACGATTGTGGAGGAGAAGCTCGTGTTCATCAAGACCAACCTGCCCGCCGCATTCTACGACTACCCCGTGCCCGACGGCCCCCCCGAGTACGATAGCAGCACCGACGAGGAAGCAGCCTAAGCCTTGGATCAGAGTTTCGTATTCATGAAACCAGGTTGTAATTCCCCGAAATCGGGTTTAATTGTATTAAAGAAAAAACCCGATGCCTGCCGCTGGAAAAATCGGGTTTTTTCCACCCATGGTGCCAAGGCTCTACGGGGTGGGGGGGCGTCTTCGCGTGCGCCGTACCGCGATGTAGCTCTCGTCGGGGTGCAGCAGGTTGCGCGTGCTGCCGCTGTCCTGCATCTCGTACGTCTCGCGCCCCCACGCCGTCTGGGCACGGGGGATCCGGGGCAGCTCCGCGTAGGGGGACAACTGGAAGCCCTCGTCCTTGTAGCGGGCTCGCTGGGCCTCCAGGCGGCGCTTTCTGCGCGGGGAGAGAAAACAAAAACGAACGCAACAGCAGCGTCGGAAAACGCGCGACGTTATTTGTCTCGATGTTATTTTGAGTTTGTTGTCCCCCCGCCCCATGTACCTCCGATTAGCACTGTTGGCTTCGTGCGGTGCAAAAGAAGCTCAATACCCACACACAGAGACACCCACACAGAGAGACACACAGAGAGAGAGAGACACACACACACAGAGAGACACAGACACACACACACGCAGAGGCACACACCCACAGACACACACACACAGAGACACTCACACACACACAGAGACACACACACACACAGCCAGAGACACACACACACAGAGAGACACACACCCACACAGAGACACCCACCCACACAGAGACACCCACCCACACAGAGACACACACACAGACACATAGAGACACACACACAGACACACACACAGAGACACTCACACGCACAGACACCCACACAGAGACACACACACATAGAGACACACACACAGACACACACACACAGAGACACACACAGGTACACACACAGGGACACACAGAGACACACACAGACCGAGAAACACACACACAGAGACACACACAGAGACACACACACAGACACACACACACAGAGACCCACACACACAGAGACACACACACACAGAGACACACACACACAGAGACACACACACAGAGAGACACACACACAGAGACACACACAGAGAGACCCACACCTGTAGCAGGTGATGGAGAGAGCGATGGCGAGGTTGACGAGGAGCCCCCCGCCCATTGCCCCCAGGACGACAGCGACGAGGAGGTAACCTGCACGGGCAGCGCAACCACACGGGGGCTCAGCCATTGTTGCAGCACAACAACAACAACAGCAACAACAACAACAGCAGCTACAGCTACAACAACAACAGCAGCCAAAGCAACACAGATTCAGGCGGCAGCCCGGCAGCTGACGCACGTGCGTGGTCACACATGCAGCTCTTTGGGGCCGTCCATAAATGACGTCACGCGAGTTTGGACGATTTTTTATCCCCCCCCCCCCCCCCCCATCGTCACACGGCGTCACAAAAGTCAGACCCCCTCCCTCAAATATGACGTCACAAAGCTCTGCCCCCCCCCCCAAAAAAACATGCTTCAAATCGCTTTAAACTATTGTCATTGTATTGCGTATTTAATGTGGCGCTGCACTCTGATGTTGTAGGAGAAAACATTTATGAAAAAGTCTATTTAATTAAGTCGAACGTGTTGTCTAGATTTATTTAAATCTGCACATTTTGATGCGACGTCATATTTCTCACCCCCCCCCCCCCCTCGTCACACATCGTCACAAATGTCTGACCCCCCCCCCCCCAGGTGCGTGACGTCATTTATGGACGGCCCCTTAGCTAACATCCGAGGTCGGACGAGATCGGGTGAAGTCCGAGTGATTTGGCAAGGAGATGATTGAAAAACCTCCAAACCCAACGCGTGTGTGTGTGAGAGGCAGGGAGGAGGAGGCAATCGTTGTGGGCGAGACTCACGCTCCTCACACTGGTGGCCGTAGTAGCCAAACGGGCACCTGCGGGAGACGCACACAGGCAGGGCACTCATTGGCGGAGCAGGTGAACCACAATCACAACAACAACAACATCTTTAAAAAAAATGATAAAGTATATAAGTTCAAATTGCATAAGTACACCAATTCCTAAGCTTGGGAAAGGCGGCAAACGAACTGCAAAACAGTCCCAGAACACACCAAGACAACACACAGTCCCTCAATAAATGTGTATATTAAAACTATCGACACATGGGTAAGGATGAAAGTTAGAAATCTCATTGGCAAATGCAATTCTATGCAGCACTAATCTTCTGCTTCAGGATAGAGAACGGCGCAAGTAAGCGGCTTTTACAGATCTACCTCTGAGATCGTGTCAAGAGGCTTCTACTCCACACACAACAGGGGGCAGCACTTTCCCAGCAAGTCAGCATACGAGGGTAATGTCCATCCGCATGCCAGTCAAACTGATATTTCGAATTTCCATAGCTGGAATTTTTAGCCAGGTTAAGTAGGGTGGCTGAAACCCACATTTGAACCCTAAACTCCAGAAGTTTCTTGCCCAGTGCTCAGATCTCTGAGCCACCCGTGCCTCATATGAATGAGTAACTTTAAATAATAATACAAATTAAACCCAGCTGAGTTTGAATGAAACTTACTTGACACATGCATTGTTATGCAGCTTGTAGCCGTTTTCACAAGCTGTGAAAACAGGGACGGGTTCATTGCTCTTTGGCAGATTTCTGTGCGATTCAAAGACGTTCCCTCTTCCAGAAATGATTAATCACAGTCATGTTTAAATTATCATCATTAAAGCATCGTTAATTATCATCAGATCTCCCATGCGTGATCGCACCACCGAGAATTAACGAGGCCTCCAATGAACGTCTACAATCGATGATTATTTTAAGTAGGACCTGCTAACAGTGCTGCTGCTTACTGCTGATGATCATGATAGTGATGATTTAATGAAGGTGATGCTGATCACGATACTGATAGCGATGATTTAATGGTTAAGACGACATTTCTTGTGTTCATAAGCATTCATCACAACGAGTAAAGTCCTTATCGTCAGGGCCAATACCTGATCGTATTGATGATGATGGTGCAGATGATGATGACATGATAATATTGATGAAGAGGAAGAATAATTATTTAATTTAGATTATTTAAAATTGATTATTTGACGATAACGACAGTGACAGTAATTGAATAACGATGATATCCGAATATGAATAATTGTATTATCATGATTGCAAATTAATCTTTAATTGCAAGACCATGCTGATGATCATCAGTTACTAGCATCTGTTGATGATTTTTTACGAATAATGAATGATGATTGGGCAATGATGACATCATAATTATTCGACGACGATAATTTTTTGGTCTTTCATGAATACTTAACGGCGATGCCACCGGTGGCTCGCCCGTGCTGCTCACCTCTGCACACGTGGTTCTCATCTCTGCACACGTGGTCCTCACCTCTGCACACGTGGTGCTCGCCTCTGCACACGTGGTGCTCGCCTCTGCACACGTGCTGCTCGCCTCTGCACACGTGCTGCTCACCTCTGCACACGTGGTGCTCACCTCTGCACACGTGCTGCTCACCTCTGCACACGTGCTGCTCACCTCTGCACACGTGGTGCTCACCTCTGCACACGTGGTGCTCACCTCTGCACACGTGGTGCTCACCTCTGCACACGTGGTGCTCACCTCTGCACACGTGGTGCTCACCTCTGCACACGTGGTCCATGGCGCTGTGCTTGAAGAAGCCGGCGCGGCACTCGCACGACACGTCGCCGTCGACGTGCACGCAGCGCGAGCTCCTCTCGTCGCACACCGACAGGCTGCACACGTCACCCTCTGGTGACAGCGCGGACATCACGGTGGCTGTGAGATGTCGACTACCTCGCCTGGTACGCAGGAGGTCGTGGGTTCCATCCCGGACGCGAAAGCCACAGTGGCTAGGAGATGCTAACTACCTCGCCTGGTACGCAGGAGGTCGTGAGTTCGATCCCGACCCTGACGCCTGCTGTGTATTTGGAGTTTGCGTGTTCTCCACGTGTTTGTGTATGATTTTTCTCCGGGTCCTCAGGTTTTTTCCTCCACATTTAGAATCAACGTGCGTTTAGAGTATTTGGCTGCTATGAATTTCGACATAAGCCACTTCGTTGAGCCATCATTTGTGGCCAGATTGCTTCTGAAAAACAGCTATATAGCTCAGTGGGCTTTACCTGATACATTGAAAATAGTTCAGTTTATAGTTTTAATTTTAAGTCACAGGGGGTCTGGGTTTAAATCCAAGCTCTCAGCCACCTGTGCAAAAGCACAGATGGTTGTGGAAGCGCAGAGATTTGGTGATTTTTGTTGTTGTCGTCATATCACCAATGGCTGCGTAAAACAAACATTAGAACAAGCGTGTTGCTGACCATGTCGCCACGCAGGAGCCTGCAACACAATTCGTTATGCATGATGGCCACTCATTAAAGCACGCTTCAGGCTCAAGCCTGCTTGGCTTCGAGATCGTACAAGATCGGGTGCATTCTGGGTGATTTGGACCCAGAGCGAATAAAATAGGGATATCAAAAGTCCTTCACTCAGGGATGCGCCTTGCTGATCATCAACTCCATTGTGGGGAGGAACCCTTGCGGAGATATTTGGCTCATTCCTTCTCAGGTGTGTTCAAATGCAATCGGAGTAACGAAGACATGAAACGCGAGAGCACAAACCAAAAACCACGGGGCACAAATCCGAACGGACGGGGGCGCCGTTGGCGCGCTCACCGCTGTAGGAGAAATTGTTGCCGCGCGCGAACTCGCAGGCGCTCGTGTTGGCGCAGCTCCCGGTGTAGTTGCGGATGGCGTCGTTCACGCTGCGGTTCGTGGCCGCCGACGACGAAGCGAAGAGGTGCAGCACAGAGACGACAACGCTCCCGTTCCTGACACCGGCGACGGACGCGCGCGCGCGCACACGTCGGTCCGATCAGCCAACAGAGTTCGTGCAAGTGTGGTCTTCCGAGATAGGCCGAGCGCTGATCTTCCCTCAAACTTTTGCCACGTACCACTGTGAGTACGGCTTCAACTCAGCCGGAGCTGTCTGAGGCTGATTTACAGAAAATATTCCATACCCCCCCTTTTTTTATAATCCCCCATTTGAATGTTGTGTTTACATTTTGAATAATGCCCTTAATGTTTATACAATTAACCTTTGCTTGCTTTATATTATTTCATGATAAACTCACGTCTCACACAAAATGACTTGCTTTCTCATCTGGCTGCTACATAATTTGAAATAAAATGGTGGTGGTAGTGATCATGGCGATGATGAAGATCACTACTATCACTACTCCATGTAAAAAAAAAACATAACCACATTTAACCTCTAAACTATTGGGAAGAGTTTTGTGTTTGCCCAACCAACCCCTGTTTGGCCAAACACAAGGAGAGCTCTGTAAATAATTTTTGACCCATAACATGTGGGTCTGTTCCACGACCTCTGGCCAGAGAACCTTAAAGGCTGCACACCGCCACTTGGTGGCGAATGGCGACGTTGTTGTTGTTGTTGTTTTTGTGCGTGTGTCCCAATCGTTCTCAAGGCTATGTAAATAATGCCATTCATTCAAATACCGCGTGCTGATAAATATTAACGCGTTATTGGAATTTAACCACAAACAGAGCGATTGTTCATACGTTGATATTATTCTGTAAGTGTTTAATTTCGTAGCCACCCAGCTGGGCAGCTGGGCGTGAACTCACGTGACACTGAGAACAGTGGTGCCTTGGTAGGACAAGTTCTTGCCCTTGAACGTCTCGTTCATCTACAACAACGAGACAAGAGCACGGGTCACTGGGGTGGAGTCGCAGACAGAAAACAATCGCAGGGGGGGGGGGGGGCAGCAATGGAATCACACACAGGCCGTGTGTTCCTTCGCAGAAAGTCAAAAGCATTTACTTTGCCGACGGAAAGAATCTTCCAGATGTCACGTGTCCCGGTAGTGTTGTTTGTAAACCGTGGACTGGTTTCAACTTTAGCGAGGCTCGTCAGCAGTGTGTGGCTGCTTAAACCAATGTTTATTAGATGGCTTGATATTATGGGGGGGAAAGAGTCATTTATCAAGAATGTAAGGTTCAAAAATGTTCAATATACAGTCATTTGGGCAATGGTGGTGCTTCGGTTTGATTCCGGGCCACGGCTAACATCAGTGACGAGTGATATACGAACCGTTACTCTACTTGTCTGCACCAACCCGCACTGACCAGCGTGATGAAGTATGGTCAAACGACTGCTGTGCGATCGACAAAGGGCTCTCAATCTATTGTGTTAATTATCTCATACGTGAATGCTACCCTAAGGTGTATGAAGCCAACAAGACGCAACAAACAAGATAGAATATACGAGACGGACAACACAAGTGAGATAAGCGGCACGTTATGAATCAACTGGTGACCACTTTTGTGATAGCTCTGCATTACCATGGACTCGTTGACATTGTTGTGATGATGTCATGTTCTTGTCGTGTTGTCGTTTGGTTGGCCGTGACTACAGTTTGCGTGTCTCTCTCCCCGTGGTCGTTGAGCTATCATTTGTGGCCAGGTCACTTCTAAAAGAAGACGCTATTAGCTCGGTGGGCTTTACCTGGTAAAATAAAAATAGTCATATTTTTTTGTGATTTGCTTAACCTTCCTATACTTCTAGATTTGAAGCTTTCGTGACTGCAAGGATTCATACTCTTTGGTTTTTTCGGTAAAGTCACGTAGGTAAAACAATCAATAAAAAAAATGAAAACAACTAATTTAAATCACGACGTTTCGGAGGCAACACAAGCTTCCTTCATCACTTTCGACTCCTTATATTGTTTTTTGATCGTTGTTGTTGTAAATCTCTGATTCGCCCCTACAGGACATCAGCGAAAAAGAGATGTATAGCTTATCGGATTCCTCCGGTATAAATAAAGACTCTGATTTGGTTGAAGTTCGGGGGTGAGTGTTGTGTGCCCATCTCTGACCACTCCCGTGATGTTGTCCTGCAGCTCCACGAACACGCTGGAAGCAGGGTCTCCCATCTCAGCCGTGAACACGGAATTCTTCAAAGTGATGTTTCCTAGGAACGTCTTGGCTGTGGAAATCACACGGGAGATGGTGGCACAAGGAAGTGAAATCTTTATTGTGAGTTCCGCGAACTGCCCGAGGCTACAACTCTCTTATTTAAGTGAGGCCTGGCTCACAAAAGCAAATAAACTTAACAAAAAAAGGACAATAATTGCAACAACAACAACAAAATAAACACAAAACAAACAACACGCCTTTGATTAAACTGAATATCAATTAAACATTATTGTGGGGAAACCTTGTCATTGTCCTGACACCATTCTTCCCTACCCCAGTCCAGACTCAGCCGTTGTACATGATCATCATCAGCACCCACGCGCACACACAGTGGCGCGGCGTGGTTAGCATGGGCCCTGGTGAAGCAATTAAATGGGGGCCCCTCCCCTGTCCAATTCCCCACCCTCCTCTGTTATAGCTCCACGCCGGGGCCCAGTGCAGTTGCACCGCCTGCACACTGCTCGACAGCCACGCCACAGAGCGATCACTCGCACGGTCCGTCACTCGCACGGTCCGTCACTCGCACAGTCCTGAAGCGGTTGGTCTCCCGAGGGAAGGCCTGCTGCTCGTCCTGTACTCCAGCCCCACACACAACAACCAAACCAAGCAACCAACCAGCGCGTGACACGCTCAAGACGCGTGGGGGGGGGGGGGGGGGGGTGCAGCGGCGAGGCCAGGTAGGTAGGCAGCAGCAGCACCTGCGAGGCAGCCGCGCGGGTAGTCCTGGTAGAAGCCGACGGGGCACTCGCACACGAAGCTGCCTCGCCGGTTCCGGCAAGCGCTGAACGGGGGGCACGGGTTCGTCCCGTCGCCGATGCATTCGTCCACGTCTGCGCGAGCGGGCAGGGCGGGAGCGGCCAAGGCGACAGATTAGCCGCGGAGCAAAGCTCGCCCACAGTCATCAGCCACGATCTATCCACTGCTGCATGAAGGCGTCCCCAAGCTGATCGCCATCTCTCAGCGCCCTGCTGCGACGCGACAATTCCCCTTGCTCGTGCACGCGAGCTGGTTTCACGGCTCCGCCGGTCATGCACGGTCCCTCCCTTGTCCGCCCATCCGTCGTTATTCTCGACCCCAATGATTCACCCACCTCGTAGAAGTTTTGTTAATGCACGACATTCGGTTTAATAATGCATCAGCTGCAGTAAAACAAGAGCAGGTAGAATAGGTATTGGGTGGATAAGGGGTAAAACTTCAGGGTGTGTAAGTTATAAATTGTTGGACATAGGCCCAGGTTGATTGACTTCTCCACAAATCTGGCTGTTGCCTGATGAAGCTAGTTGTAATTACTGGCGAAACGTCGAGCTCAGACTGTAAATGTTGTGGCTTGGCTCTCCAACACACACCGGTGTGCTGTACTAGTGACGAATTGGCCACGTTCTGTTTACGTGACAACCCTTACTAGTTGACTGTGTCGGGTGGTGGCGGGTTTTAACGACACATTTATATATTTACGCGATCTAACCCAAAAAAACCTCTATTTATGTATGACACACTACAAACAATCTTTGCAGAGAATATAGACGCTATAGTCTACATCTGAAGCAGAAGTGACTTCAGATGTAGTCCTTTGACATCATATTCTGTGGCCCTTCACCGACACGGGAGAGATTAATTGCTCGCTGCGAGAACTCCAAACAAGAATGTATTTGTCTTGTGGTAGGACTCCAACAGCATGATAATGGGATGCACATGCACGGAACGTTTTCAATTCCACTGCTGGATTAGGACCACACCATGCCATGCAGGTCATCGGCACTGCCATGGCGAGATGTTAACTACCTCGCCTGGTTTTCCAGGCCGTTGTGGGTTCATCCCCGATCCTGACGCCTGTACATGTGGAGTGTGCGTGTGTCTCTCCCCGTGGTCGCGTGGATTTTTCATCTGGTCCTCCGGTTTCTCCCTTCACAGTTAGAATCAACGTCACGCGTTTAGAGTATTTGGCTGCTATAAATGTCCACGTGATAAGCCACTTCGTTGAGTTATCATTTGTGGCAAGGTCGCTTCTGAAAAAAGCTATATAGCTCAATAAGCCTTATCTGGTCAAATAAAAAAAAACGTAATCGTAAAAATTGTTCGAATGAAGTGTAACTGAGGAAAAGAGTAACCGAATTTGTATTTATCTATTAACAATTGTCCCTGCGATAGTTCACTAACCGTCAGTGCAGTTGAGTCCCTGCCACCCGGGAGGGCATTGGCAGGTGAAGAGAGCTGAGGAATTCCCTGGGGAAGAGGAATTCCCCTCTTCGCCCTGCGGCTCGGGAACACAGCGCTGCCCGACGGGGCACGGGTTGGGGTGGCACACGCTCGCCGGTGGCTCTGCACGCAGACACAGCCGTGAGAGCACGCACACGCGACACATTCCTCGATCGCACGCGCAGCAGGATGCCAATATCACTGCCCAAAAAGGAAATATATATAATGTGTATGTATGTATGTACAGGGTGGCCTAAAAGTTAGGGCACATAGGGTTATTGCATTTTTTTTAGCACTGGCATTAAAACATTTTAATTGTTTATTATTTAAGTTAAAATTTTCTCTATTATCATTACTAATATTTTTGTATTCCTGTGGAGGAATTTACAAAACTCGACGAAGAACCCAGAATTTATTGAGATAAAACATAATTAATGTTCAAAAATTAAACAGCTGTAATATTTTTTTTAAAGTCCTAACCTCGTTTAAAAAAAAATCATGCATCATGTATTAATGTGAATGGAAGTCGGTTGGAACATGTGTTAAATAATTAAAATAACCCGATGTGTCCTGACTTTTGGGCCACCCTGTATATGATAGGCGACGTTTAAGGCAATGACCCTTATAGCAGAGATATGGGTCATTGCTCCCAATGTTAACTATATATCTTAACCCTCTTCATTATGTTCGCGGGTAATTATACAAGTTTGACAAATTTTTACAGTGACGCAGGTACACATGGCTGAAGCTTTTAAGAATTAAGTCCTTAGTGAACGGTGAGCACATTACTTAGTTAATGTTCCCACACGATTCACCAGGACAAGCGCTCTAATGAAGAATCATCATCATTGTCATCAAAAAGCGTGATCTGGTGTGTGAAGGCCTCTCCCCCAGCCGTCGCCATGTCTCACGATCTCGTGATGCGACAATCCATCTGTGCACCACATGAGCCGATCTCGTCGGCGCATCTCCGCTGTGTACATCCTCTCTGGCGTGTCTCCTCCTTTGGCTTCCACCCCATTGTCAGCCTCAACCCCCTGGTCATCATCGCCCCCCCTAAGGTGACGAGACGTGCCCTGCCCAAGTCTACTATCTTACTCTCCCGTGCCACCAAGCTCTCTCCCAAGGTCTCCCCCCATACCTCTCACTCCACTAACCACAGCAAACCACCGCGTCCTACAAGGTACATCGAACAATCTGATCATTGTACCCAGAACGAGGACGGTCCTGGCTGAGCGGCACTTCTCCGTAGCTGCACCAGCCATCTGGAACTCTCTCCCGCTGCGAAGACGCAGCATCCAACCACATCCACGGCAGCTCAAGATCCTCACACGTGCAGGCTCTCACCTGGTTCAGGCACTCACCTGGTTCAGGCACTCACCTGGTTCAGTCTCTCACCTGGTTTAGGCTCTCACCTGGTTCAGGCTCTCACCCATTCAGGCTGCGTATGAGGGCTTTGAGCTCTGGCTACACGCCTCCGAGTTCTCAACCACACAATGCATCCGATTCATGAAATATGTTGCACGTTATAAAGTAATTGGCACTAAAGATTTAGCCGAGTCCCATGAGCAGATTAAAAATTACCTTGAACGCTCCGAGTCTTGTCAGATCTCAGAAGCGAAGCTGGCTGGAGACTGGCGAGTACTTGGATGTGAGATTCCCTGGGAATATCAGGTGTTATAGGCTTGGGGACTGTAGTTGGCCAGGATGTAAAATCAGTACAGCATGAGGTTGAGCCCTACATTTGTGAAGTGTTCTGAGTTATCTCCTTTTGTTCGTGGCTTTCCTCTGGATACTCCAGTCTCACCGATGCGTTCCTGGGCAAATTATTATTACTAAACACTTCACGATAATATCCAAAAACCAAAAATAAAAAAGGTTAAATTAAATGAGCCTTGCAATTTCTTGCTTATAACGCTGCTGGCAGAACAACCTCTACCACACAGAGCTCTCTAGAAAGTCCCTCCAGAGTTCAGAGGGTATTTCACCAACTTTTCCAAACTGACCCGGACATGTTGAAAGAGTACCCACACTTTACCCCACCACACTTTACCCCACCACACTTTACCCCACCACACGTGCGTGGCCTGCCCATTGACTGTGGATGCAACCCATTTACACTGCTGGCGGCAGAGACGGAGGGTACTTTTGGAAACTGTCCCCATTGTTTCAGCTGCAGCGCCGGGAGATTGAACTAATCGGCGAGCTTTAGGATTCCCATCAGAGTGTGCCACCCATTAAAACCCTGGCAGCGTCACTCGTTATTTTATACAGTTTCACTAACAACAACAACAACAAGTGACAAAAAAACTAAAATCCCCTTCTTCCGTTCATCACCTGTGGGGGTCGCGGTGTCCCGCTCCTCGCTGGCGTGCGTCGTCCCGTTGCACTCGGGGCTCGACTCCCCGGTCGCGGGGGGCCCCATGCTGCCGGGCCGGGGCACCGTCGGCACGCCCTGGTGGTCCACGGCGGGGGACGTCCGCATGGGGCGAGTCACGGCGAGCGGAACGGGCAGAGACGGCGGGAGCTCCGCGCCGGCAGCGTCCACGCTTTCCGGACCTCCGGTTGGCACGGCGCCGGCGGTGGTGGTGGGAGATTCCGTCGCGACCGCCGCCGTTGTCCCACCCGGCCCGGTGGGTGAACCCTCGCCGGTCGGAGAGGTGGCCACCGTCGCGTCGAAGCCGTTCGCGGCCGTGGGGCGGACAGACGCCTGTCGGGAAGTCCACGGCCGTCGCCGCCGCCGCGGTCGCCGCGTGCGCTGGTTCCGGCGTGCCGTGGATCGGAGTCGTGGGGGAAGGCACTCGCGCCACCTCGGCCGACTGGTTGGCGACGGTCGGCAACGTCCAGCCGCCAGCGGAGCTGGAGACGCCGGCTGTTGCTCGGGTGCTGTTCCACGCGTCGCCGGCGTCGCCTCCTCCTCCTCCTCCTCCGGGTGGCGGTGAGATGGTGAGGGGCGCGATGTCACCGGGGGCGGTGGTGGCGGTGACGGTGACGGCAGCGGTGACGGCGGCTGTGACGTTTGCGGTGGCGCCGTGTTCCGTGGGGCTCACGGTCGGGGTGGCGCCTACAGGCAGATGACGCCAGAGATTAATTTCAGCTGGGGATTGTCCCGGGGTTGGCAATTTTTAAATACGTCTGCATCCGGCACACCAAATCCATTATACCTCTCTCGTGCCTCCGATTGGCACGGTTGGCTACGTACGGTGCGAAAGAACTTCAACGTACACACGTACCGTGGCTACTGTTGCCACCTGCCTTTTTCATCTCAGAAACGACTCGGCGAGCAAGGACTGGGGGACCCACCTCGACCGTAACATGAGGGACTTCACGCGATGCGTGACCAGCGAGTGCCAATTGGCTCAGGAGAAACATTTGAGTGTGGAGACACCGGATTGAGTCACGCACTGGTGATGCCACCGTGGAGAGGGCCAGTGAGACATCGCAGACTTCGGCGGGTGAGGGAAGGATGGGGGGGGGGGGCAAACTAAATTTTTCCCATTTTTTTTAATTCTCAGCAGTGATCAGCGACCCCCGCCACACATTGTACAATTCTCTCTGCCACCAAGGGGACAGGGAACATGATTTACTTTGCACTCCGATGCCCAGGGACGTGAATAATTGATCTGGACAATGTACCGTGACGCACCACCCTCGCCAAACGTCTGTTTTAATCTCGCCGTGATGCGCTGTAGACGGTGGCGTTTTAAAACTGCTCGCTATGTATTAAAAAAATACTTTCAGCGATATATCCCGTTGCCAAGAAACACTTAGGGAATATCTTGCACTTCTGCGTCACGTGGCTTCGTGTAACAAAATGTTTCCCTTAATATCGCTGATTAGGTTGACGATCTGGTAGAATTGCCGAACACGCATTTACAATCTCCTGTTTTTAATGTGGTAACGTCACACTGTAATGAGCTGAACAGATGCAGGTGTTAAGATGACGTAGAACTGTGTACATCTGCACGAAACGCCACGTACCTTTCCCACAAATCTAATAATGTCTCCTTTTTACTCAATTTGTTTATTGAGCACCAAGCCAAGAGTGCAAAAGGGGAGATTTCTCAACAAGTTTAACGTTTTTAACTTTCAACTAATAAATATCAAGAATATTAATTGGCCAAGTTTTAGTATGTTTGAGGGAAACATCACAACTTTCATTTATTTTCTGATTAATAATATAATTTTTATGATCATTATTGTGCTCATTGTAATTTAGGGGAGCGGCGGTGCAGTGGTTAGCGCACTTCACTTCATGGCCACAGCTAACGTGAGCGGCGAGTGACATTGGAACCGACCGGCGTTGGCTGTGTGCATCCTCCCTCACCAACCCGCACTGCCCAGCATGGCCAAGTACTGTACGGTCACAAACCCTGTGACCGAAAGGCGTGGGAAGGCCTTCATCCAGCAGTGGATTGATGAAGCGTTGCACGTTAATGAATGTTGTCAATTGTACTGCGTGCAACGAGTGCTTTTCTTCGGGTCATCCTTGCAGCAGATGCGCGTCTGCGGCCGTCTGGAACGTTCTTCCTTCCGATATTAGGAAGTCACCGGAGCTATACACTTTTAAATCTCGATTGAAAACTTTAGAATTCCTTTTAGTGTTTAGTTTGTTGTCCTTCCCACGTACCTCCGCTTAGCACGGTTGGCTACGCATGGCACAACATTTTAACATACGTACATAAATATGCTGCGAATGGACGGTCGCCACTGCAGCTCCCATTGGCTGGAACGCAGCAGGTCGTCGGAGTCGTCGAGATGAGATGTCATGCGATACGCCTTCGGTTTGCCGAGGCATCTAAGCAAGCGCCTTACGAATGCAAATCTCTTACCTTTGCAATCTACAACGCTACCCAGTTGATCGTACAGGTCGTAGTTCGGCAGGGAGACAGCTGCTGGGCACAAGTATTCCGCTCTCTCTCTCCCTCTCTCAAGGTCCTGCATATGAGGTGGCACTTGATTTGCGGTCAAGTGCCCTTTAAAAATTAAAACTTTGGATAAACACGAACGCGCTGGCTCTGCCGACGCGACGGAGTTTCAGCCTGGATCCTCCCCGACTGCCGTGGCTCAGTGACGCGTGGGTCTACATCTCAGGGGTTGGTGGTTCACACGGAGACTACCAGGTGCTATAGGATTCCCAACTAATTAGGTTATTCTTGTTGTTTAGTCCTCTGCCCAATGGTAACTCCTGGGCTCGAAATCCCTCCATCAAGCTCCCTCCAGTCCCTATCTTTCTTCCTTATTTCACTGTAATGGCCATTTTCTTCCTTCAAGCGTTCAAGCCGAATCTTCCAACGTCTCCCTCTTGGCTTCTTCCCCAACGTCTCCCTTCTAGGACGAGGAGCGTGCACGGTGGCCGAGCAGATGGCAGAGACACCAAATATGCGTCCGTCACCTACCTGTGTGGACGAGCGTGGAGTGGCATCTCCCCGTGTGTGTGGACCGTCTCCAGGCACAATAAGCTTCATCCCACGTGTAAAGATGTTGAGGAGGAGTCGGCAAAGACATCCCAATTGCGGGAAACCACCCAAAAGAAAAGCCTGAAGTCTTTGTGCAGCCTTCCCGGCTCTATTAATGGTCATTATGACTTCATAATAATAATAAAAATCAGCTTCACGTAGCCATGTCTTGGTGACACGATTCACTGTTTTACTTTTGCTCTTCTAACCTTTCCCCCGACTTTCAGTGCACGATTGCGTCAATAAGAATTACAATTTTGGAATCGGTGACATCCGGTTCATCGTTTTTGATCGTCGACGCATCTGAATCTGTTACGTAGAGTTCGTGTAGAATCGGCCCAACAGGATGTTGTTGTTGTTCACGTCGTGATTGTTATTATTCGTGTGTACCTAGGAAAGCCTCAATTCTCTTACAGGGGAGTCCTGCCAAGTGTTCACAGTAGGGGCGATGTTGCGATGTGTATCCTAATTTAGTCATTTGCATGTATATATATTTTTCTATTCACATTGGAATGTTTGGCAAATGCGTGCGCTACCCATTGCACTACCGTTACACCGCGCACGCACGCACACACAAAGACAAAGACCCCCGTATAGCCTTAACATACTGTTGGGGAAAGTGCTGTTAGCGAGCACCTATGAAGGCCAGCATGGCAGACGAGGGGGTGGGTGGCCAACACCACGCCCGGCCGCCTTTGTCTCCCCAGCGGTGATGTTTACACATCGCACCAGGTACTCATTTGAGGCTGAGTCAACCTCGGGGAGACCCATGACCAGTTCAGACAATCGTCACCGCTGTTGTCCGTTCGGAGCACAGTGTGCTCAACGCTACGCACACACACACACGCGCACATGCTTTCATATACACACACGCGCACAAATACTTTCATATACACACGGACGCGTACACGCAGAGGTCCCAAATTTAGCCTTGTAGACGAATGGGACAAGCGCTGTTAGCGAGCACCTGTTGAGGGCAGCGCACAAGGGAGTGTTGAGGCCAACACTCTGCACGCTCGGCCACATGTTTCTCAACACTCACGCTGCACCCACGTCCCCGACCCATCACCTGTCTTCCTAATAACTTTACTTGCAGTTGCATTTGGTGTATATCCTTGTAATCACCAGCTAAACGTCGTACTCAATTGTAAATCTCGTGGGTTTACTCGCCATCACACCGACGTCTTGACGTAGTAACCAATTGCCACGTTTTGTCCACGTGATAAACCTTACTAATTGGCTGTGTCGGGTGGCGGTGGGTTTACGAAACATTTATATTTAGGTGATCTAACCCAAAAACCTCTTAAATTAATTATATATCCTTGTTTGTTTGTACGTTGGTACAATGCTAGCCCTGTATCTGTTTGATGATTCTATAACCTAGTTTGTAATTGTACTATGATCCATGTAGGGATATAATAAGCCAACTTGCGCTGCCTCGAGTTTAGTATTTGGCATTGATTTGTGCAATGGTTTTGGTTTCTCATGGGACACAGATCTTTTAGTTGTTGTGCCGATGTCTGTTTGCTTCATTGCTGCACGTTATATTGTTTGTCGCGACCCAATTCACTCCTGCAAAGGAGACTTTACTAGTGTCTTGAGACTCTGCATCTGGTTAAACAAAAATTTTGCTTGAAACTAAATTTTTGTTTTGGCTGAGCTGACCATGTGGGGCTCAAGATCAGATCAAGATAACATTTTCCCACTTGTGTAGAAAAAGTCACATGTGCAGTACCACATCTGAACATAGTTAACACTTATACTTAGTTTCCTCTGTGTAACCAGGGTGGAGTGGTGGCGCAGTGGTTAGCTTCATCCGCTGATGAGCACAGTAAAACTGAATTTGATTCCTGGCCACGGCCAACATCAGTGGCGAGTGACATTTGAATCCATCATGGGCCTTCCCTTCACGAACCCCACACTGACCGTAACGGTGGAGTGCTACTATTTATTTAGCGCACATTGTCGTTATGTAACCTGATTAAAGCCTTGAGATTCACAAATCACTTCCAAGGTGGTCCAGGCAAGATGGCGTTGATCAATCAGCATACCAAACCAATTATGATCGCACACTATAGTAATGTATAATTGCAGGCAAAGTTAATAGAAGTCATACAAATAAATATAACACGTGGAAATGGATTCGACCATCCGATAGAGCCTATCTGTACGGATTGTCGGGTGATGGTGGATTCTCTCCAGGTCCTCGGGTTTCTTTCCACGTGCCAAACAAACTAAACGAGTCTTGATTTGAAACGAAATGAGGCTTTTCTGGATAAATATTATTGTTATATACATTATACGGTTTTCTTATCTAATTTCTTCAGAACTGATTTTGTGTTTAGTTGGTTGTCCTTCCCCCGCACCTCCGATTATCACGGTTAGCTACGTACGGTGCGAAAGAAGTTCAACATAGATCCAGACTCCCGATGTTGTTTCCACTGAGCTACCGGTGTGTTCCGCACGAGGCAACGTGTTCAGTTGTAACCGTCGCAGAGCAGTGCGAGACGACGGCCCGCTGAAGGTAATGTCACAGAACGCCTTCTGAGAGCCCTTCAAGTACAAACACTCAGTAACTGCCTGAAAACATCTTAATGTGTAAAGGAATGCAGAGCTTGGGAATGTGTTGGCGTCGATTCATTGCCTGCCCTGCACCTTGTCTGTGGTCCCTCGGCGATTGTGAGATAAAATTCACGTGATTAACGACACTATTCAAAACTAAATATGATTAAAAGTGACCTCTTTAATCCACATAGATGAGACACGCTATCCCAGACGTTATAGAGATATAATGTAGTTGTTTGTTGTATGACAGTCAAACCGATATTTGTAATTCTCAGAGCTGGAATTATCCATGTGAAAAACTGCATTAGAATTTAGTTTTTGTTGTTAATAATCATCAATGACTCGACTGAAATAATAACATTTCTATTCATTTCTATTCATGAGAATCAAATTCGTTCACGTTTGAGCTTCTGAGACCTGGATTCTCAACCAGGATCTCAGCATTGCTGCTCGCACACCTCAGCCCCCTTAGACCTAATACGGTCTGAGAAATTTGTGTTCGACTTTTTCGCGTGTAGAGGTGTGAACCGTACCTGCTGTGCTGGATGGCGTTCCTCGTTCCTCCAGCTCTGCTCTGGTTGTCCCAGGGGTCTCTTCCCGTGTCCCAGCGGCACTCAGCAGCAGCTGACCGTCCTCGGTGGAGGAGGAGGCATCGGTGGACGCGGTGGAGGAAGTGGAATTGGAGGACGATGACGAGGAAAAGAAGGAAGGCGAGCTTGAGGAGGACAACAACAGGGGCTGTTCACTGCCTGGGTCTTGGCTGCCTGTCCAGGTGTTGTGGGGGGCGATGGTGGTGGTGGTGGTAGAGGTCCCATTGGCGGAACTCACAACTCCTGGAGCCACGAGGAGACATGAGATGGAGGCGAGGAGAAGGGGGATCCTTGGGAAAGTCGGCTTGTTTTGCAGAGCCATCTGGCCTCCAAGTTGTGCAGTCCACCCCAATAAAGCCTCGCTGTACGTGTATACTCCTCCACAAAGACAGACACTCGCGCCTGTCCTAAGCGAGCTTGCAGTCGCACGCCTCTCCTGCCTGATGTGTGATGAGCACGAGGTGCTGCCTTCAAGCAGCTGTCTCTTATCAACGTGTGCACCTGCCCGAGCAATTGCACCTGATGGGACTAATACAATAGCTCCACACACAGCTACAGCTGTACTAATGTGGACTTGTACACCTGTACTGACGCAGACACTTCTTAATGTAATAGACAGAAGTCGTCACCGATGGGTATATGGACAAGAGAGGTCCAAATACACACACAGCGCTAAACGGCACTAGTAGCGAGTAGAATCGTTGACCAAGAGTGACGACATTGCTTGAATAGAGCCAGGTGACAGGAAATGAGGGTAAAGTGGCCGATGTCGAGGAAATTACAAAGTGGAGCAGTGCGAGTAGAGAAGTGGGGGGGGGGGGGTACAGGTGAGGTCACCGGATTGGTTTTGGTGGAGCCGAGCGACTTCTCAACGTGGCTGTGGAGGTCGTGACCTCGGCGGAACCCGACCACGGCATGCAAGGCCACCTCTACGCCCTTCGTCGTCACACAAGCAGCTGACTTTGTCGCCTTCGTAGTAAACTCGGCCTACGCACACCTCTCTCCACCTGCACGCACGCGCTCATCGACTCCTGCTCGAACAACGGAGGCGGTTCGAGCCCTTTCCTACCGCGGCTCCACCTCGAACCGCTCCTCGAATCGAACGGCGACTCTCGCAGCCCGCTTATTGTTGTTGTTGTCCACTTTGGTTGACGTTGACTTCAAATCCGCCACGTGTCAGCCAGCGTTAGGTCGACGTCAAAGGTGTCCCCCGAACATTCCGAGAGCCGACGATCGATTTTGGCGTCAACTCGGCGGTTGTTGTCGACGTGAGGTTCAGTCGGTGTCAACAAAAAAGCGCACGTGATCAATGGCTTGTCAAAGAGTCGCTCAGCTGCTGTTGTTGTTGTTGATGATGGTGTTTTTGTTGATGGTGTTGTCGGTGTTGATGGTGTTGTTGTTGATAGTGTTGTTGATGGTGTTGTTGATGGTGTTGTTGTTGATGATATTGTTGATGATGGTGTTCTTGTTGATGGTGTTGTTGTTGTTGATGTTGTTGCTGATGTTGTCTTTGTTGTTGCCTTCGTCTTTCTATTATTGTTGTTGTTGATGGTGTTGTTGTCTTTGTTGTTGTTGTTGGTTTCGTCTTTTATTATTGTTGTGGGTTGTTGCTGCTGTTGTTGTTGTTGTTCATTCCATCACTTGTGTCGTATTGCGACTGGGTAAACACGATGTCAAAATAGATCAATCGGTCTGCATATTCCCCCCAGCTAGCATTGGTCATCGGCAGCAGTCCCATCTGATGCACTCGCTTCACATCAACGCCGTCCGTACGATAACATCACAAATCAACGTAATATTTCAGACATGTCGGTCTTCGCGATACGCGACGCCTCAAAATAAATACTCATTCAATTGAACGCGAACTGTTCAACCGAGTTAATAACGCACCTTCGACCTGTGACATCATTCACGGTAGATCCGCACTGAGCGCAGTCGACAGCGCCTCCCTTCATCGAGTGCGCGGTGACACGGGGCTGGCACGCCGAGCCACGGGGTCGACAATGCCCATCATCTTCCTGCTGCTGCTGCTCCTGCTGCTGATGATCTTCCTGCTGCTGCTGCTGCTCCTGCTGCCGATGATCTTCCTGCTGCTGCTGCTGCTCCTCCTGCTGCTGCTGCCGATGATTTTCCTGCTGCTGCCGATGATTTTCCTGCTGCTGCTGCTCCTGCCGATGATTTTCCTGCTGCTGCCGATGATCTTCCTGCTGCTGCCGATGATCTTTCTGCTGCTGCTGCTCCTGCCGATGATCTTCCTGCTGCTGATGATAATCTTCCTGTTGCTGCTGCTCCTGCCGATGATTTTCCTGCTGCCGATGATCTTCCTGCTGCTGCTGCTGCCGATGACGATAATCCCGTGCCTTCGCAGCCGGCGCGGGGCACACGAGTGAGATGAGAGGGGAATCCTGGTGGCTCCTCCTCCTACTCCCTCTCGTCCTCCTCCTCCTCCCCACCACCACCATCATCATCATCATCACGTCACCCATCATTACAGCCCGGCATCACGCACGCACACACACACGCACACCCATCACTGCGAATCGCTGTGCTTGGGATGGATGGGTGGGTGGGGAGCGGTGGCGCAGTGGTTAGCGCACTGCGTTACGAACCCAGTGATCTGAGTTAATAATAATAAAAATGTACATTTGTAAGGCGCATTTCTTCCCTAGATCCCAATGCGCTCTGATTGTCTTACTCGCAAAGGGTCCCAAAGTAGGAGCTGCACTGGCAAACATCCCCCATCGCCCCGGGAAACGAGCCTTGAAGGTGATCCGGGGACCTCAGGGAACTCGCTGCTCGACAAAGGATGGAGCAGTTGGCTGTACATCTTGCGAGGCTAACCCATTGAGTGCCTCGTAGGTCAGCAGGCTAACACCGACCTCGGGTCTCCCCTAGGTTGACTCGGCCTTAAATGAGTACACGGTGCGCTGTGTAAATATCAGCAGTGGGAAGACAAAGGCGGCCCGGCGTGATTCTCGCCCCGCAATCCTAAATAGATGCTTGCTAACAGCACTTGCCTCATTAATACTGTACAAGTTTTTTAGTTGTTTAAATCCACTGCCAGATGAAGGCATCCCCAAGGTCACGCCAGTTGTTTGACCATACTTCACCACCCCGGTTCGTGTAGGCTGGGGGAGGTGGAGCCCACTGGAGGTTCCGTTAACAATGACCGCTCACGTTAGCCCTCAAATCCAACTATGGATCCTCGGGATTTATAACGCAGCGCGCTAACCACTGCGCCACCGCTCCCCGCTATGTGCTTGTCATGCAGCATCTCACCGGAGGTAGTCAACATCGGCACGTGGCAGGCAAAGCCGGCCGAGCCGTGGCGTGTGTGGTTGCATGGCCACTCATACATCAAGTGGCTGTTGCCGATCTGAATGGATGCTTACTCACTACTAGCACTACAGTCTCGTAGGCAGGTATGCGTGCAGGCGGAGACGATGCATTTGTGTGTGTGAGCTGCAATCTTGCCAAATCGCGCCAGAGTTGTAATTGCATGAGGTCGTTGTTGGAAAAGCGCCGAGAATATAAAAGAGGGCGTTGAAGTGGTGTGTGTAGGTGTGTCTGTGTGCACTTTATGAAGGCCTGCACGGCACACGAGGGGGTGGGTGGCCAGCACCACGCCTGGTCGCCTTTGTCTCCCTAGTGGCGATGTTTACACACCGCACCAGCTACTAAGTTCAGGCTGAGTCGACCTAGGGGAGGCCCGTGACCGGTTCACATACCACTTACCACCAGGGCTTAATGGCTCCGATATATTTTCTGTAGGATTGCTCGGCAGGCTTTGGTTTTGGAATTATCGGCATAAGAGTGCAAGGTAGGCCTATCCATAATCACATGCAGTATTATCTGGTACACAATATTACTGTCCATCATCCTGCGATACCACACTGTCATGAGGACAAAATGAGGCGAGATGGATGTGTGGTGCCAAATAATTCCCGGAACAGCGTTCTGCACTCTTCCACATTAAATGATTCCCTGCATACCACGAATTTGTGTGGATTACCGTGAATCTGCCTGAGGTCACAGGGGTGTTCGACAGCATATGAACCACTGTGGCACACACACACACACACAATGCGTGTTGTTTAATGTTCATACATTTTAATTCTGCGGCATTCATAAACAAAATCTGTGATTAATTAAAGGACATTTCATTAGATAGGCAGAGACATGCCTGCCTTGAAGACTGGGATTCTGCAATGATTAAAGGCGAGTTATTGGCATACGACTGCATTATTTGTATACGGTAGTTTATGCAATGAATCGCATGAGGAATAACAGGTAAAGGCGCAGCCCTGCAATTGCATTCTCACGCCACTGCTGGCAGAAGGGCATCCACGAGAAAGGGGCCGCGGTTTGCTACGTACGGTGCTAAAAAAGTTATAAGTTCAACATAGCGATCCTCACACCGAGGCTATGCGGCCTACTCTTCCACGCTGACAAGACGTCTTTGAAGAGGTGGTAGTACCCAAGCCTCACCCCGCCACGCACGACATGCACATTGACTGCCACTGTCATGCTCTGCTGGGTGAACAGAGGTGGAGGGATCCACGAAACTCGCCCAATATTCCAACCGCCGCGCTAGGAGTTGGCATCAAACGCCGACCTCGTGATTGAAGTCAAGTGCGCTAACCATTACCCCCAAGGCGGCTCTAACCTCCAACATTGTAGTTGTCCATACAAACACGCCCGACCTCCGGTGGTGACCCACCGCTAATTTTTAACACGGGAGGAATTCGCGGTTTTGATTTTCATGCAGAGGCTTTTTGAGTGCTCGTTGGTGTGTGAAATTAAAAGGCGTGCGTTTGAATCTCTGGGGCGACTGGGCCTCTTAATCAGAGCCAATTAATTACCGAGCAGAGAAGCAACGTGCAATGTGTAAACTCATGGTCACTCCTTGAACCGCTGGAATTTCCTACCAAGTCTTCTCAGGGCAGGCAGTTGTCAAACCAACGCGCGGCGCGCAGGCTGCGGCATGGATACCGTGCAGGAGAAATTCCCAACGTGCAGGAGAAATTCCCAACGTGCGCAGAGAAAGGTCAGTGCCACGTTGCGGCGACAAAACACAGTAACACGAAGCAAAAAGTCCATACTAATAATACTGCGTTCACCAGAGGTGTGGATGTGTGATTTCTTTTTGTATTGTGGGCCTATGTCATGAAACTTTACGCGTTGGATTTCACAACCAATAAGATCTGTAACTGATTCGTGGGTGAGGCCACAATGATTATTACGTCGTGGACTGACCCAAATATGAAGTATGAATCGGTGTTAATAAAGATATACGCATCTGGTCACGCACACCAAATGCACTGTACGCACCCCAACTTTTCTTTTAAAATACAGGGGTAAACAAAAGTGCGTCTTATAATCTGGAGAACATGGTAACTTGTATCGATGATACCCCTCAAGAGTGCTATTTGTTACTGGATGCTTGGCGGTTTGAACCTTGGGGCCTGTGCTCAGCAACCGTGATTTTAAAAGATAAATCAAGCAATGAGACAATGACCATCTTTGTACGTGTTCCTGGCAATTCCACATTCCCACGGCCAGAAGTACATTATTTTCCATTGGAGCACCCACTGTTGACTTCCCACAAAGTGCTACGACATTTCCTGAGCTTGCAAGAATCATGGGCTGAGTTGACCTCCCCAACTGAAAATTCAGAATCTGAATGTTTATTTAAACTGGATGAATCCATTGAGCACTGAAGCTCTTTTCACAGATTTCCAGGAGTTGAATCATAATTGAAATACAACCTTCTGCTCGGGAGTCAAGTACGCTGACCACAGACGATGCAACGTCTGGATGTATACAGGAGACACGTGTGAATGCTGCACCCCTATGTAAAGCACACGATGTATTACTAACATTACACAAAGACACAGCACCAAATTCCAGTTGTTGTAATGTACTATGATCCACCGTCTATGCGCCCTACCTTCACAGCAACCCGCACTGATCAGGGTGTTGAAGTTTGCCCAAATTACTGTCCACCCCACAACCCTTGCGTACAGCGTGGGGAGGCCCTTATCCAGCAGTGTATTGACGAAAGGGATGTACATTTACACATATGTTACATTGTTGTCCTCAAAGTTTAGGAAACATATGACAGCTCTGGACTTTAAAATACACGATTGTTCTCAGCGCTGTGGGAACGCGAGATCTGTGGTGGTGCCAGACAATTCGTTGGTGGTTCGAAGCAGGCGTCAATTTTGTGTGCGTCACATGACGACAAAACTTCTACGCTTGGGCCAGCTACGTTGCTTAATTATATCTAAGTCGAGTGAAACAATTTCGGGAAGATACCTATTACAATGAAACACGTTTAAAGTGTGAGATTGCCATGTGGAATGGGAGTACAAGCTGCTGGATATTTTACGCATCCCTCTATTTTCATGAATCCGGGGCCCCTGCAGCTGCTTGTGGCCTTACGCTTGTGCTTGGCTTGTTGCTTCTTGCACAAGCGTCACTACTGCACAAAATGCACAAGTAGAATTCGTTCCACTTTCCAAAATAATGCGACTGCTTGCGAGCAGTTGTGGTTCAACAGCGCCCTTGCAACTCTCTCAAGTCTCCCTGGTGAGCACTTAAAAGCGTAAGCGGAATTTTTTTTCCCCAAAACACACAAAAAAACCGCAACACAACTTTCAGCACTGCAAGGGAGCCTCGTGTCATCTCTAACAGAAGCCGTGAAATGCAAAAGTGGGCCTCGTTAGACACAAATGTAGCCGACTACAACAAACTCGGCTGGAGACAAACATCCCACAAGCGAAGTTTCTCGAGCACAAAGCGTTAACAAATAACGTTTGTTAAGAGAAAAAAAAAAACTTTTTACGCTTCCCTTTGCGATTCATTGTATGTCGGAAAGACACGCCCTGGAGGCCTGGGACAGGATCAGTGACTTTGTGTGTGTGTGTTGTTGTTCGTGTGAGCTCTCACGCCACCCCTTGCCCGCTTTCTCTCTCTCTCTCCCTCTTCATCCACGAGGCGATGTTTTACGCCGCACCACCATGAAGGCGGAGGATGACCCCATCGTAAAGCGCCGCGTACTGTCTCGGCCGTTGGCTCTCGTCTGCGGGGCTGAAGGCTTCAACGCCGCCCGCAGGCTCCATCCCTCACGCGGCTGTCACAACTCAGCTCGCACCCGCGCTCAATTGTGTCATGGATTCGGGCTTATGTACATCGTAGAGTAACTGCCATAAAAGTAGACCGATGTTGCTTCATCAATAGACGTTGCGTTTATTTGAAAAACTAAAGTCAGCTTGTGGGTTGTAGATCTCACTGATCGGAAGATTTTTAAACCACATACAAATCATTTTACGTGTCCGGTCTTCGTCAAGACAATATTCTAGTCTCTTTC